CAGTCTCCTAACTGGTGCTTCTACTCTGATTTATCTTTTGATGCTTCCACAAAGAAGTTTCTGCAGGTAATAGCAGATATAATTAATATTATTTATGCTTAGTATAATGCCTGGCATATAATAAGAGTATAAATATCTGTTACACTAGAATAATATTAATACTTATTTTAAATTTTAATTAATTAATAATAAATAATAATTACACTACACTAAATGATTTCCATCTATTTTAATCTGCACAGCCAATTATAAAGTAGGAACTATTATTTAAATCTTAAAGATGAGGTTTGGGGAGGCTGCATAACTTACCTAAGAACGCCAGGATTCCACATTCATCTGCCTTCTAAAATTTGTTTTCACTTTTTAAAAAAAATATATACAACTTTTCCTATGGCCTCTAGGCTAATCACAACCTTCTATTCTGTCGCTATCCGTATCAAACCTGCCTTTTCTTTCCACTTTATTCTTTTAATCCACAGGTTCTTTTCTGGTTTTACTTAGCTCCTTATTTAGTAGGACTTACTCATCAGCTATTTCAAGGGCGTCCTTCACAGCAGGCTCCTCTTCTTTCACTTCGCCCACTACATGGTCTGCAGCTCATCCCTGTCCCCACCCTCTCTTCCCGAGGCTAAGGTAGTGTTAGGGAAGGAAGTGCGGAGTGTGAATGGCTCCAACCTTGGTAGGTGCAAACACTACAACTCCCTGGATCTTGAGTTTTTCTCTGCTTAACTCAGTGTTGCTTTATGGTTCTAATATAATGAACCAATTAACCAAAAAATGCTTTTTGAACTGTAGCATGCTCTCCAAATGTAAGGTGCAATTATTCATCCTCCCTTTGCATACCCAGGGCTTCACCTGAGTTATTCTGTGAGCAACAGAATGGGCGTTTGAAGCAGGGAAGGCCACGTGCGTGTTGGAGGAGACTGGAGAGGAAGGCCCAAAATAATATAAACCTGGCCTGGGAAATCGCTTTCTCATTACTGCCGATAGCCACTAAGTAAAACCTGGTATTCGTCTGAAAACCCCCAATTTAAAAGTCTTTCTTGGACTGTGCTCTCCCCTGCTCCCTGGGGGTTTTAAGTTCTTAAAATGTCCTCCCTCACACTCACAAGGCCCCTTCCTGGGTCCTCCCCACCCCTTCACTTCCTGGCCTTCCCCCTTCCGGGTGGCCCCAGCTCTGGCCCCGCGCCCCCCGCCCCGCCCCGCTGGCCTGCGGAGGACTACAAGTCCCGGCGTGCCGCGCGCGCCCGGCCGGCTGCACCGGGGCTGGGCGCGTGGCGGCCGCCGAGTTCTGCGCCGGGGAAAGCCTCCCGGCGCTGGCCATGTGCGGAGGTAAGTGATCCACTCGTGCTGCGAGGGCAGTGGGAACGTTCACGCCCTCTCTCCTCTCCAGGATGAAAGGAAACGAAGAAAATCGCAATAAACACCCCTTCGTCTCTGCTGTGTGTCCGGTGCCCCTGCAGCTTGTTGCACCCACGAGCGTGTAATCTGTCTCCCTGGAGTGGAACCGGGGGCAGAAGCGTGCCCGGCTGTGCAGAGAGCTGGGGCTCGCCGGGGGCTGCAGGTTAGAACTCGCAGAAAGGACCCGGGTGGCGGCACGGCTCGGCTGGGCGCACAGCGAGCGCCACGCCCCCACACACCCCTTCCAAAGATACGCTGCCCCGGGGAGCCCCAAACTCAAAGCGAACCGTTTCTTCTTGAAAGTCTTGGCCAGAAACTTTTCCTTCTGTCGTCACAAGCGGGTCCTTTAGTTTTCAGACGGCGCCGCTGGTCCAAGAGGCATTGTGGGGTCCCCTTTTGCCCTCTGCTCTGCCCCCAGCGCCCCTCTCCATATGGGTCCTCATTTTCCCTTGAGACGCCCTTGGGGACACGTTGAGCTCTGCCGTGTCCTCGGGCGACTTCTCGAGGTTTCTTCTGTAGCCATATGGACCCAAGTCTGCGCTCCTCGATGTGGGCTGGACACTCCTGGGAGCCGATTCCCTGGTGGGAGGCAGGGGCGGTGGTTTCTTTGGATGGCACTGGCTTTCTGAGCTCTTTCTGGGGGATGACTGCAGATCAATAAAACAAGGAGGCACCCGTTTCCATCCCTTCCTGACCTATCTCCCACCTCGCTGAGCCTATTCCCAAGTGTCCCCGAAAGTTCTGCTCCAGAATCCCAACACAAGGATCAATGAAGGTATTTTAACATATTCCATATTGTCCTGGATCAGAAGGTCTTGTTCGTTTGCATCTCTTTCACACCCTACACTTACACACACACAAACACACCATAGACACTGCACATTCTGCAAACACCAATAGGTACTACACCCACACAGAGTACACATAATACAAACATTACACTCATCACATACATACATTGCACACACCATTTATGCTACACACCACAAATACCATACACACTGCATACACATACACATAATTTTTATTAGCAGAAAAAGTTAATATCAGTTTGTTGAAGGGAGTGAGGAGGAAGTGGGTGAGCACTAGTATATATACTTATACCCACAAATGTCAATTTATTCTAAAGTTAGCAACTAGCTGGTAAGTGAAACCTGTTCGTGTCAGAATTAGAGTGCCTTTGTGGCTCATTTTTTATAAAATATGATTTATTTCATACACCTTCATAAACCCTTACCCTTGTCTAACAGGCAAACTTTTGATCACAGCAGGCAAGACAGGAGGGGATGTCCTTTTCTTTATATAGTAAAAAAATTCTTGGAGAGTCTTCACAGAGTCTTTCTTCCTGTGATTGTGTCTAAGGAAGAGTTGGGTGTAACTACGTTTTCTTTGCCCCACTGTCAAGAGTAAAGAGCTGAACCTGATTTTGTTCTGAGTAGTGGCAGGATAATACTGTCAGGACACCGTCCTTGCCTCTAGAACTCACAGCCCCACCCTCTTCCATTTGAGTTTATTTGGAGAGCAGTTTAGGAATTTCAGATCAATTCCAAAAGCATTATAAAATCTGTTGGTGAAAGAGCTATCTCCAGAAGAGTTCATTATTTTGATCAGCAGTGGTAAAAGACCCACCCATTTGACCCATGCTCAATAAATGGTGCTAAAAAATATATGAACATTTAGAATTCATAGGGATGAATTCAAATTACTATTTGCTTTTTCAAGGGGGCAGTGATAGGCAGAGACATCTTTCTGAGCAATGATTTTTCAAGAAGGTGAACATTTCTAATATCATTCCTGGAATAAGTAAGAAAAAAATTTGACTTTGAAATTCAGGTTCCAAATTTAGATGATAATTGCTGATCTTCTAGTGCCCTTAAAAATTACTAAAGAAAAGGTTGACCCACAGACTTCTCCTCTATTCTGCCTGAACAATCTGTACAGTATTATAGCAGCAGATTACTTTTTCTAGGATCCTTCTTGGAAACCTGTATTCTCTGCCCCATCTCAAGCGATTTTGTTTACATCTTGGCCTAAAAGTTTCCAAATATTGATTGGTGTGTATTTCAGTGACAAACTAAGGATGTTTCATGTGTGTCTGCAGCATGTTTGTGGAATGGGAATGTTTGTCTCCAGCTGTGGTTCCCAGCCAAGCAAGAGTACTGTGAGATTGACCAGTGTAATGTCATCAAAAGACCATGTTTAGTCTCTACTCCACCTCCCAGTTTCCTGAATTGGGATTTAGGATGTGGGAGATACTATGAATTTGGGGGTTGGCACAATATCTTCTTTTCTTTTTTTTTTTATCCTCACCCGAGGACATTTTTCCATTTTTTGTTCAGATAGAGCGGGAGGGAGAGAGAGGAAGAGAGAGAGAGAGAAACATCGATGTGAAGGGACACATCAAGTGGCTGCCACCCGCACAACCAACCAGGGCCGGGGACAAACTGCAACCGAGGCACGTGCCCTTAGCGGGAACCGAACCCGGGTCTCTCTGTACCGCAGGCTGAGGCTCCAACCGCTGAGACAAACCGGCCAGGGCACAATATCTTCTTTTTTTATATGTAACTAATAAGAGTACCAGGTGCTCATAGATAGTGTTAGTTGAATGTATGGAATTATGATTTTTGTGCAACTGGGATAAACAGTTAAAATTAAACCTCCCAGGCCTTGGCCAGTTGGTTCAGTTGGTTGGAGTGTTGTCCCATACACTGAAAGGTTGAGGGTTCGATTCCCGGCCAGGGCACATACCTAGGTTGTGGGTTGCAGCCCTCGTTGAGGTACATACAGGAAGCAACCAATTGATATTTCTCACATCAATGTTTCTCTCCTTCCTTTCCCCACTCTCTCTAAAATCAATAAACATATCCTCAGATGAGTATTTAAAAAAAAAAATTTAAACCTCCCAGAACTAATTGTTTTGTTGGAGAATAAGGTTTGTTTTCTTTTGAGTTTTTTGCTGACATCATCTGGTAGGATAAATACCAAAATAAAAGAATGTTGGGACTTCTCAGCTCTGGTCATCTACGTTGCATCCTCAGAAATATGTTACTTCCTGCATAATGGAGTAAAAGGATTTTCTGTGGGGCAGTGCTTTCCTTGTCCTCACAAAGAGATTCCTTAAAAGGCGGCCTGGGGAACTTTGTCCACAAGTCTCCCTTAGGAAGAGAGTAACGACTGCAGCTTCAGCCTGTTCACTGGGTATATAGCCCGTCAGCACTCGGTTCTTTTTTTTTCTCTGACAAATCCCCCCCCCCCCCCAACAGGGGAGAAAAAGAAAGAGTTTGAAACATGACATTCATGGTCAGAGCCAACGGCAAACACTTATCGTGCAGCCACAAGGAAAGGGAGGGAGATAACGAGCTCTTGATGCAGCTTGTTTTGCTTTGTGCAAGACAGGTGCAGGGAGCACGGGCCGGCGGACGCTCACGCACGGACGGCTGCAGGCGGTGAGCCGCGGGAACGGGCGCACTGTCGCTTTAAAAAGGCGGCCATGAGCCAGGAGGCAGTTGGTGCAGCCGGTGTGTGAGTCCGCGCGTCACGCTGGCCGCGCGCCAGCCTGCTTCATTGCTCTGTGTCAAATTGTGCCTCCTCACTGAATTCCTTTGCCAGCCTACTTTGTGAAAGAAAACATTGGGGTGTCTTTGGCTGTTCTTGATAAGCCTATACAAAAAAAAAAAATGACATGTTTTAGTTGCTTCTAGGTAGGTTTTCTTCTTACTCTTCCACCAAAAAGAAAAAAGAGAGAAAAGAAAAGAATAATAGCAATCAGACCATGTAGTGTGGTGTGACAGAGTACCATTGTGAGTGTTTGGATTTGTTTTGCTTTCTGGGGTGCTTAGAAAATGGTGCCTGTGGTTAACAGTGTCCAACCGAAGTGAAGTGTGCGGCTCGCCCGACGGGCGGCTGTGTGCCGGGGTCTGAACCCGAGGCGCGGGGCTCGCGGGCCGGTCTGTGCGGCGGCCGCTGAAGTTGGCGGTGTGAGGAGCCAGGCTCGTCCCGCGCTTGGAGTCGTGCTTGTGCATCCTCTCCGTCTGACAGGGTGCAGCCAGGGGCTGCGCGAGCCGAGGCACTTGTCGCTCGGAGCCCTCCCTGGAGGAGGAGTGCCCAAGTATAAAGTGATTTGGGCGGAAATGTGTTTAATGGATGGCTTCGGCCGGAGGAGAGCAGGCACGGTTCAGAACTAGTTTTTTGAAAGCAGTTTGGGTCCTAGCTTTTTCATCTTGCTAATTGCATATTAGTTGCGGAGGGTTTTTGTGTAGGTGTGTTTTTTTGTGTGTTTTTTTTTTTTCCCACCGTCCTGGTCCTACTAAACAAAAAGACAAAGTGATGGATGCTGTTGTATCTCCTTGAATGTTTTGGTGATTTTTTAAAAACGTAAATCTCATTAGCTGCCTTGCCTGTCTTACACACACACACACACACACACACACACACACACACACACACACACCCTACACACCTTTCTGTGCTCAGGGCTACCTGACGTTTTTTGTGAGCTTCCAGCTTTACCGAAGCATGGCCATCTCAGGGTTTTGAGGCTTTCATTGAGAGTATGTGAGGTAGGAGGCTACTTGCTGACAAAAGCTTTAAGTGCTCTTTGGCATTGCCATGAACAAATGTAGAAAGAGTGGGAGCGGACAAAACCAAAACAAAACACAAATGCAATAAGGAAAAAGAAATCACAGCCCTTGGTGGGAAGGGCCAGGAAAAGGGGGATTGTTTTTCTGTACTTCCACTCATTGGTGAGTTGCAGTGTCTTAAGTGAGAGCTTGCACCCAGAGGAAGCTGTGCCAGTTCACACAGAACTTGTTTTGAACAAGGATTGGATTTCATTTGCAAATGCTTATTGTCAGGGCTGGGAGTGCCAGTACAGAGGGAAGCACCCCATCCCTCTCCGTTTCTTTAGGTTTAATCACATCTCTGCAATTGCCGAGGGCACTGGAGATTTAAACAAACATACGTGAACTGGTGTGAAGCTGTAAAAGGAACCATTATGTGTCCGATTCAGAATATATATTCTCTCACTTTCTAAAAATTAAACACAAGCTTTTCTCCCTTATTGATTAGTTGCTGAAGTAAAGGAACCCTGCAGCCTTCCCATGCTATCTGTTGACATGGAAAACAAGGAAAATGGCTCTGTCGGTGTAAAAAAGTAAGTGAAACTGGTTTGTGAGTTCTGCTTCTGCAAACAACAGAGGGACTTGGTTTCTATTTTTATACTTCTTGCTTATCTACTATAAGACACTATTTGGGGATTGTCCTGGTTGGTCTACACTGGCCATCAGCCTCCCTTTTCCCCCCTATCCCAGTTGCCTTTTTCCATATTCCATTTCTAAGACAGGTGACTCAGACATCAAACTGTGCACAAAGGGTTAGTGGATGAGGCTTTGAAGCAGGGACTGTTGAGGATTTCAGCCCTGTATTCTGTGTGTAGAAACAAAAGCATCGAGCAGATACACTCTGCCTTCCAAGTCTATGGGCTATAAGAGTGGAGGCTGAAAATAGAGTTCAAGACTTTTTATTTTATCTTTTATTTATTTTATTTGTCTTAAAACAACCTCTCTCAAAACTGAGAGCTAGCTATAATGAGGGAAGGCAAAAAGCTTCAGTGAGAAAGCTAAGTTTTAACAACTTTCCTGTCCTGATTTTATGAACTTTTTTTGAATGTGAAATATTTCAGTGCATACCATAGCAATCTATTTTAATGTCTGGTCTCACATTTGAAACTTCTATTATATTTGCTGTGTTATAGGCTTGATTCTTCTAAATAGGAAAATTCAGTTGCATTGTGTAGCATATTCTGAAACAGAACAAAAATTTAACTCACAAAGATATCTGTGAGTATTTGAAAAAAATGTGTATTCTCATTTAGGAGTTATATTGAAGCTATAACCACTTTGATTACAAAGATAAAGTAAGCTCTGACTGGGTGTTATCTGTTTCATTTCTTTTCATGTCATTTAGTTTAAAATTGCCTTCAACTTGAGCTTTGGCGGGAACTAATTAAATGTAGTCTATAGAAGCTGTGATAGCTAAATGAGGAAACACTGTTCTATAAACATTTATTAATGGAAGGTATATTGTCTATGAAAGTTATATTAAACATACTATAATCTGCCTTTTAAAGTTTTCAGGTAATATATATATCAGTGCTATGCTACTGTGCTTATTCCCGTTCTTGAAGTTTGGGTTTGGTAGATGGAGGAGGAATGAAAGAAAGAGATGCTTTTTTATGTTATGTGTTAGATTCGTGCTGCCCAATAAATAGTACTTTGAGCATTGATGGCAAAGTTCTGTTCTGTGCTGTCCAAAATGGTAGCCACTAAGCCTCATGTGGCTATTAAAAACTGGAAATGTGACTAGGATAATCTATGAACTGAACTTTTAACTTTATTCAATTTTAATCATTTTTAAAAGTTAATAGTTTTATTGAAATGTAATGGATATATAATAAATTCAGTGTATTTAAAGTATAAAATTTGATAGGTTTGGACATTTGTATATACCCATGAAACCATTACAATTAAAATAATGAATATACCCATCACCCCAAATATTTCCTCATAACCCTTTGTATTCTCCACCCCACACCCCACCATCCTTCCTTGCTCCTGTATCCTTAGGCAACACTGATAAATTACTATAGATTAGTTTACTTTTTCTACAGTTTTATACAAGTGGAATTATTTAGCATATGCTTTTATCAGGGGGGAAGGGGTCTAGTTTCTTTCACCCAGGATGATTAATTTGGATTCATTCATGTCATAGTGTGTACCAGTAGTTCGTGGCTTTTTGTTGCTGAGTAATATTTCATTGAATAGATATATAATAATTTGTTCACTGTTTATCCATCCACTTGTTGGTAGACATTTGGGTTGTTTCCATTTTTTAGGTATTAGAAATAAAGCTGCTTTGACCATTTGCGTACAGGCCTATGTATGGACATATGCTTTTACTTCTCTTGGATAAATATTTAGAAATGGAATGACCAGGCTATATGTAGGTGTGTGTTTAACGTTTTAAGAAACTGCCAAACTATTTTCTAAACTGGTTATCCTATTCTATGTTCTCACCAGCAGTGTGTGAGCATTGAAGTTCTATATCCTCACGAACATGATTTGAAAATATTTTCTTGTAGTATCTAATTTGTCTTTTCATTTTTTTTATCCTCACCTGAGGACATTTTTTGTTCAGATAGACTGGGAGGGAGAGAGAGGAAGAGAGAGAGAGAGAGAAACATCGACGTGAAAGGGACACATCGAGTGGCTGCCACCCGCACAACCAACCAGGGCCAGGGACAAACTGCAACTGAGGTACGCGTCCCCAGCGGGAACCGGACCCGGGTCTCTCTGGACCGCAGGCCGATGCTCTAACTGCTGAACCAAACCAGCCAGGGCTTCATTCTTTCTTTAGTGTCTTTCAAAGTGCAGATGATTTTCATTTTGATGACGTCCAGTTTATCAATTTTTTATTTTATAGATAGTGTTTTTAATGTCATATCTAAGAAATATTTACCTAACCCAGGGTCACAGAGATTTTCTTTTATGATTTCTTAGACTCAGGATTATGATTTTTTAAAGTTAATTTTTGTGTACGGTGCAAGATAAGGATAAAGTAAAAGTATTTCTGTTGATGGTGATGGTTGTTTTTCAGCCTATGGATATCCAGTTGTTCTAGCATTTGTTGAATTGTTTCTACAACTTTGTTGAAAATTAATTTATCATATATGTGTGGATTTATTTCTGGACTTTCTATTTTATTCCATTGATAGTTTTGTATATATTTATGGCAATATGACACTTTTGATAACTGTACCTTTATAATAAATCTTGATATCAGTTTGTGTTATCCTTCCAGCTTTGTTCTTTTTCAAACTTGTTTTGGCTCTCCTAGGTCCTTTTATTTTCGTATGAACTTTAGACTCAGCTTGTCAATTTCTACCAAAAAAAAAAAAAGCCTACTGGTGATTTGATTGACATTGCATTGAATTATAAGTCAACTGAAGGAGAATTGACATTGTAACAATATTGTATTTTCCAAAACCCATTTACACAGCATTTTTCTCCATTTACTTGGGTCTTTAATTCTCTCAGCAATGTTTTGTTGTTTTCAATGTCAGGTTTTGCACACCTCTTGTCAGATATATCCCTAGATAGTTCATATTTTTGTTCTGGATAAATGATATTGCTTTGTAATTTTAAAATTTTAATTGTTTGTTGCTATCTAGAAATATAATTGCTTCTTTTACATTGACCTTGTATCCTACAACCTTGTTAAACTCACTTATTACTTCTAGTAGCTTTTTGGTATTTAACATAGACACTTATGTCTTGTGACTAAAGATAGTTGACTGTTTCCTTCCCAATGTGGATGCCTTTTATTTCTTCTTTCAACCTTATTGCACAGAATAGGACCCCCAATAAAAAGCTGAATAGAACTAGTGAGATTAGACAACCTAGTTTTGTACCCGATCTTAAGAGAATACATTTAATCTTTTTAAAAATCTTTCTTTTTTTGTATTTGTCTTTTTTTCCCATCTGCTTTTACTTTTTCTTTATGTCATTGATTTTTAAGCAATTTGGTTATCTGGTGCTTGAAATCTGTTTTCTTTCACTGGGTCTCAGGGTTTAGTTTTCATGAAATTTGAAAATATTTTAACCATTATTTTTCAATTTTTATTTTGGTTTACCCCCACTTCTCCTTAGGGGATTCCAATTATAGTATGTATGATCACTCGATATTATCCCATAATTCACTAATGCTTTGTTAATTTTTTTTTTTTTTTTTGTCTTTTATCTCTGTGTTTAATTTGGGGTAGTTTCTATTGCTTTGCCTTCAGATTCTAATGTTCTTTTTCTGAACTGTATAATCTCTTGGTAATCCTACCCAATACATTTTTCACTTTAGACAATGTAGTTTCCATCTCTAGAGTTAAACTTGGATCTTTTTTTATATCTTCCATGTCTCTACTTAACATATTCCGTCTTCCCTCTAGCTTCTGAACAAATTAAATATAGTCCTAATAAATGTTTCAGTGTACTTGTCTACGAATTCTGTCATTTCTCGCTTAGTTTCAGTTAATTGATTTTTCTTCTCATTATGGGTTGTATTTCTCTGCTTCTTTGCATGCCTGGTAATTTTTGTTATTAAAACTATATTAAATTACAATTGGCATCAATAGTATATTAGTTTTAGGTGTAGAACATACTGATTCAGCATTTGTATACTTTACGATATGATCATACTAAGTCTATAACCATTCGTCACCATACTAAGTTATTATAATATTCTTGACTGCATTCCCTGTGCTGTATACTACATCTCCATGGCTTATTACTTTTATGACTAGAAGACTGTACTTATTCCTCTTCACTTTTTCCACCTGTCCCTTTCCACCTCTCCCCTCTAGCAACTGCAGTTTGTTCTGTTTCTATGAATCTTTTTTTGTTTTGTTTTGTTGTTTTAGATTCCATATATAAGTGAAATCATATGGTATCTGTCTATCTCTGACTTATTTCACTTAGCTTAATGCTCTCTAGATCCATCCATGTCGCAATTGGCAAGATTTTGTTCTTTCTTTTTATTGCTGAGTAACATTCTATTATGTATAAATATATACTACATCTTTTTAAAAAATATATTTTTTAATTGATTTTTTAGAGAGGGAGGAAGGGAGAGAGATAGAAACATTGATGTGATAGAGAAACATTGATCGGCTGCCTTCTGCACGACCCCCGCTCGTGATCAAGCCCACAACCCAGGCATGTGCCCTGACTGGGAATTGAACCGGGACCTCTCAGTCCATGGGACGATGCTCAATCCCCTGAGCCACACTGGTTGGGCAATATACCACATCTTCTTTATCCATTCATCTGTCAATGGATACCTAGGTAGCTTCCAAATTTTTTATATTGTAAATGATGCTGCAGTGAACAGAGAGGTACATATATCTTTTCAAATTAATGTTTTCATTTTCTTTGGATAAAGAACTAGAAGTAAAATTGCTGGGCATTTGGTGGTATTTTTTAAATTTTCAAGGAAGCTCCATACTGTTTCCCATAGTGACATGCCTGGTCATTTTTACTGAATATCATTACTATGAATTTTACCTTATTGGGTGCTGGATATTTTATATTCCTATAAATATTCTTG